CTTGTTCTGGCTTCCTTCCTTACTAAGTACCTGGGACATCCAGCAGGAGTATCCTGGATCAACAACAGACCAAGATTTTCCCATCTTCATTTCTTCATGTCACAATATGTGTCCTGTCTAAAGAGAACAATCTAAGAATAAATGAGTTCAGAGTGTTTTCAATGTCTCTTTCCTCAACAACTCTATTTTAGCAGTACTCAAAAAAATAGCTAGTTCCTTCAACTTACTTGGATTTATTTTTATGCTTGAAGTTACATACTCGCTTAAGATGTGGCTAGAAGTTTTATACCTGCACAGACATTGTATTATATTATATACCTGAGTTGTAGAAACTGATAGACCCACCAGCAGCAAACCCATACCTAAGCATGCTAGATGTTAATCAAAAAAAACCCAAAAAAGTAGTCCTTGTCCAAAGGGACTTACACTGCCCTAAAGTCTAAAAATTTGGCCTTTTGTTACACATATGTTTTCTACTACTCTCAGTAATATTTCTCAGTTGTAATTTTGCAATTTAATGGATCATGGTCATTATATGCATAATTATCAAACAAAATGCAAGACATCAACTTTATTTAAGACAAACACAAAGGGGCTGGTCTTCTAAGATGCAAAACGTGCTCTGGCCAATTCTGAAAGCCCTTGAGATACATTGTTTCCAGTGTCAGCTCAGGACTTTCAGCGTTTCTGAAGAGGCACTTGAATCCTGCCAGGTCTGGTTCAATAAATAGCTAATAGTATATTAATAAAATCACCTTGACAATGTCAAAGACTTGGCACAACATGAGCGAAAATGAGCCAAATACTCACCTAAGGTAAATGACTGTACCCCCATCAAATATATTTATGCCAGGTTATACCATTTCCTACCCATTTTCTGTCAGATATTGAGCCCACAGTATATGCATACCTACATTCACACTTTACAAAAGACTGCGTTTAACCTCCTAAGAGCATCTTTTCCTGTTTCTATTACACATCTGAGTAAACTGCAGCCGAAGCAGGAAACGCCTACATGCACTGAAAGGATATGTGCAAATCAAAGTTGTCCTAGAATATTCTGCCAGCCAGTAGTCTTTAAACCTTTTCATAATTATTACTTTTTATTGTCTGTATGTAATTTTCGTAATTATTACGTATGACACATCCCACCTATCTTCCCCGTACTTTTTTTTTTTTTTGTCTGCTCACTTTTGGAGCAGTTACGCTCTGCACTTTGTCTTAATTTTTAAGTCATTCGTATCCTGGCTACAAACCTGACTCCTGTATCTTCATGCATCTTAAACTATCCTGACTTCAAAGCTAGCTTACCTTCTCCTTACATTTCATTTTCTCTGGCCTTTTTCTCTTCCCTTCTTCTACTCCTAGGCAAATACTTCTGAAACACCAGCTTCTAAATGCAAGCTGGAATTCCTGGGGTTTATATCAGTTTTTTCATAAAAAGTAAATCTTCATTGTGGTCATCCTTGTACTTTTTCTGACACATTTAATCTATGATGATTTGAGGCCAAAACAGAGGACCGTCAGTAAATATTTTTAAAATATGTACAATGGTCATGTTAGAAGCTTTTTAAACCTTTTTGCTCAAACTTTCC